TCCTTCCTTCCTTCCTTCCTTCCTTCCTTCCTTCCTTCCTTCCTTCCTCCTTTCTCTTCTTTTTGAGATAGGGTCTCCCTGTAGCCACAGCTGGCCTGGAACTGACTATGGAGTTCCAGGCTGACTTCGAGCTCATGGAGATCACCTGCTTCTGCCTCCTGAGTTCTGGGATTAAAGGTCTCCACACCCAGCTTGTATTGCTTTTATAAAATGCTGTTTGGTGTTTATTTGCTTTCTTAAGATCAACAGGAATGCATCCACTCAAATGCGCCCACACCACCCATCATCTAGCCAAAGATAACTCCAGACATAACTGGAGTCATAACATAAGGAAATGAAATGCATCATATGGATGGAATGTCTACTTTCTAAAAAGTCCGAGGCTGCTGAACTATTTCAAGAAACATTGGTTTAAAAGATAGAAAGGCTTGAGGGGCGTGCTCTGCTGGCAGTTAACCTGCTCAGTGTAATTGTGGAAGAGGAGAAACTAGCATAATCTAGTATTAAGTTCAACAAAGACTGAAAGGAACCCTGGTTTATCTCAACTGAATATTTAATTTACAGTCCAGTGGTTTTCTGTTTATACATAGGCCTTTCTCAGAGTATAAAGGAGAACTATATTTTCTGTCTTCCTCTTTTTCGGTCTCATCTACCCCTAGCTCTCTGCTGTCCTGTCGACATCATGAATCTGCATCCTCACTTTACCACATTGCTATAGCTTTTCTCAGGTCCTAGTTTTGTACCCAGGCACTACAGCAGTGCCCTTGTGTTCACAGCCCTGTCTCAGTCAAGTCTCATTCTTCTGACATGCACATCTAACTGTGCACTTAGCAAGTTGTCTACTTGAGTCTGTTGACCCACTGACCTGTAAATTCTTGACTAGAGAGTGTACATTCAGTCCAGAGCCTAACAACTGATACGATCCAGTATGTAAGGAATAAATTATTTTCATCCAGAAAATTGATAGGATGAAAAGGGACCCTGAGGGTTTTTCATTACTGCTTTTCAAGGGCTTTGTAATGTATGTGGTCTCACGCTTAATAAGCCATAAAAAGGAACAGTAAGCAAATCTCAGTAAATCATGTGACAAGATAAGTATCCTCATGGACTTTCTGTAATCTGATGAACAAAAGTATTGGGCTTACCAGTCAGTAGATCCTTGTTTAAATTTTCTCTGCTTATTGAAAGGATGTACTGTAAGAGAAACAAGTAGACTTTGTTTCTAAAGAATGAGCAAATGCAATTCTAAGTTACTCAGCAAGAAGAATTATTATTTAGCAGAATAATAGAACCATTTAGCTAAGTGGTTTTTTAAAATACTTTAATCAAATATGCTTAATCCAATACCATAGTCATAGTTTAGACTTTTTCAACATTTGATACTCTAAGATTCAAAATCTTCTCACATAGGTGAAAATATTAGTTGCATTAAGATAGTTTGTTTTTTGTTTTTTTAATTTTCTAATTTATTATTTTTATTTTATGTGTATGCGTGTATTTTCTGTATGTAGGTAAGTGCACCTGTGTCATGTAATGCCCATGGAGGACAGAAGAGGCTGTCGGATCCCTTGGAACTGGAGTTATGGACAGTTGTTAGCTGCTATGTGGGTGCTGGGATTCGAACCTGGGTCTTCTGCAAGAGCAGCCAAGATAGTTTTGTTTTAACAATGAATTACAAACGTCACATCTTCATCTTAGCTTTAAATACTTCAGTAATGCTAGCATCACTAAAGGAAATGTAGTATTTCCCTCAAAAAAGTCTACCTTGAAGGCTTTCATTTAGGTACAAAAGGGGGAGGGTGTTGTTAGGCATAAGACCGCCTCGCTGTAACCTACACAGTTTGTTTCTGACTTTGTGGTGCAATTCTGCAAGCTGACTGTCCTAAGAGACAATGTACATGTGGTGTTTAGGGCCCATAATATTTTAGGCAACAGTAAAAATTTTTTGTTTTTCAGCTTATTTAAAATTAGAAGAAAAGTTAAATAAAATAGAAACTGGAATATAATAAAATAATTCTGGATTGCTTACATTCTTCCTTATACCAGTAAACTCATAAAAATCTCATTCAAAATATTTATTATTTTATAGCAAAAATACCTACCAAGGCCAATGAAAGTCACACAACCGTCTTTTGATTTAGGGTGAATCCATTGCGTTAAGCATTTAAAGTGTATACTTTTTCCGAATTAGGGTAGACCACATTATTTTTAATATGAACATGCTAACTTACAAACTTTCCTTTCATTCTAAAGTAAAAATTTTACCTTAACAGCCAAATATAGAGTTAGTGCAAAAAGAACTTAGTCATACTGGAGAGACAATGGTGGAGGAGGCTTGTCTGTCTATGATATGAAATAAAACCAACACAGAGATCTCTTCTTACTCTGCCTCCTAGTTCTTTTTTCTGGGCTTCTTTCTATGCCATTAATCACCATGCTTCAGTGGAAACCAAATGACTTGCTCAGTTTGTGAGGGAGGCCAGGGGGTGTTAGTGTGGTTTAGTGGTAACAGTACCTGCCTAGCATGCACAAGGCCCTGGGTTCCACCTCTGGCATGGCAAGAAAACATTAAAAAACAGAGTATGTCAGGAAGCATTCATTTACATTAATGAATAAGATTCATTTATATTAATGTGGAGAAAACATCCTTCGCATGGTAGTGATCAGGCTTGTATTCTCTGGGAACCAATAGACACGTCAGTCCTGGAGGGATACCAGGACATCCCTGTCCAGTCTAGTTCAGTTGTCTGGATGATACAGCCTCTTACGTAAGAGTGAGCATCATCCCTATCATGTGCCACTCCTCCAGCACCTATTCTAAAAGGCTGATCCATCAAGGAGCTGGTAAAAGCTGAAAGAGTTCATAATTTTCTTTGGAAATGTGTACAATAGTTTGAATGTTGGCTATTTAAAATACATTAGAAGGAAATATTTACTTTTCTTGCCCTCAGTGCTTCCTACTTAGGCACTTCATCCTACGTAGGATGAAGGGGCTTAAGTCTGAGCACAGGAGCTTAGGTATACGAAGGAAACTTTGACTTGCTCTGTGAATTAGAGTATCCCACAGTTGCCTGAGCAGTCAGGGAGGGGGATGGGTGGGTACCGAAAGACAGGTAGAGTCTGAATACTGTTGGGGGAAAGGGCCACATGAACAGCTGAGGAACAGGCCATAGAAGTAGTTAAAGGATTAGAGAAGTCAAATTTTGCACAGTATGAGTTTATAAACCGTGTGCCTTGTGCAAAGTGGTTTCTCCATGGCCTAGAGGTCCTCAGCAGATTCGTGCTATTTTTTTCAGGGAGTGGGGTATGTGAGTGGTGTATGTATATGTATGTGTGTGTGTGTGTGTGTATGTGTGATGTGTGTGTGGTGTCAAGGCCAGAAGAGGGCATCAGTTGCCCTGTTCTATCATTCTGTACCTTACTTCTTTGAGATAGGATCTCTCACTGACCGAGCCTGGAGCTAGATTACCAGCTAACAAAACCCAGTGATCCTCCCGTCTCTGTACCTCATAGTGCTGGGGTTACAGGTCTCCCTGTGTCTGGCTTTTAATGTAACTGCTGGGGGATTTGAAGATTTACTTTTATTTATGTGTATGTGTTTGTGTCTCTATAAATGCATGCTGGTGCCCATGGGGACTGAAAGAGGATCCTCTGGAGCTGGAGTTACAGGTGGTTGTAAGCTGCCCAGTTTGGGTGCTGGGAACTGAACCCAGGTCCTCTGGAAGAGGAGCAAGTGCCCTCAGTGACTGAACCATTTCTCCAGCCTGCATGCTGGATATTTGAACTCAGGGCCTCATACTTACACAGCAAGTGCTTTACCCATGGAGTCATCTCCCCAGCTCTAATTCATGCTCTTTTGAGAAAGTGTTGTGTGGGGGGACTAATAACGGAGTGAAATTCATTATTGGATCTTGGTGGTAGCCAGCTAATGCCAGTGAACTTGGTGCCAAGAGGTGAAGGAGGCCAAAAGAAGGTGGGCTCCCTGAGGATCTGAAGGATGCAAAGCAATCCTGGGGATGTGAGGATGGCTGTGCTTCCATAGGAAGAGCATCAAACAGTTCAAAGCAACTTTATGTAGTTTATAAAAGGCAAGCAGCCTGTGTTTGACTGAAACACAACAAAGGTCAACGTAATCAAACAAAGGTTATCATGCAGAAACTGAGGAATGAGGGTGGTTATGAAGTCGGCAGTCACTCAGTTTGTAAGAGCTGAGAAATCAGGACTGGTGGGGAAGGGCCTGTTTCCTCCCTGTTGTATGTAGTGAGGGATCTGAAGTGGGAACTCTAAAAACTCCTATATTCACTTGGGGAATCAGTTTGTGAGAAAGAGCGAGAGAGAGTGAGAGAGAAGATAGGGGTGAAGAAGCCAATTGGGGCCTTGGGTCCTGTCACTCTCCACTCTGTTCACCTAACTTCTCTGGTATTTGAACTACATCTTTTGTCTACCCATACATGATTGGCTTGGATTCTGGAGAGGGCTTAGCTGGATGGCTCAGTCTTCCTCAGCATGTGCCATGTTAATGGAGGACAGTGAGATGGTTATCAGGAGGCAGTCACAATGTAGTAACAGAGCTCTGTAGCTGTAGCACTGCTACCCAGGCTTCCTGGGCTGTGCCCTCACTTCTCCCTTGAGGCAACTCTGTAGCCCATTTTCTCTTCTATGAAACAGAGCAGCTGAGTTCAATAAATCTAAAGATTCTACTGTGCTAAGGTGCATACAAGTTCTTTCTTTTATAATATACTTTGCATTTCAGAGTTACACACCTTGGAAATGAAGTCTCAAACTTCCCCCAGACACCTATCCACATTTGATTAGGATAATTCTATTTTGTTGCTGATTGAAGCCTTCTTTTTTTTTAAAAGTCTTAAATCTCACTTTCTCTGCAGTCTTCTTAAAAACTGAAACTTCCCTCTTCTTCTAAACCACTTCATCATTTCCATTCTCCACCACAAAGTGACACTTCCCTGTCTCATTTAGCTGATGTTTCTTCCTCATGAACCTATGACTGCCCTTTTCTCTTTGTCCCTACCAGTCCCCAGATTTGGATCTTCTCTACGCACTCAGTGTCATAGTTTTGGAGTTAGCTTGATGCACCTGGGAAGAGGGAACCTCAATTGAGGAATTTCCTCCATCACACTCTTCTGCTGTGGGGGGGGGGCATTCTCTTGATTGCTAATTAATGCAGGAGGGCCTGGCTCATTGTAGGCAGTGCCATCCCTGGGCAGATATGCCTGGATTGCATAAGGAAGCTAGTTGAGCAAGCCAGTAATCAGGTGGCTTTCTGGCAGTGTTTTAACAGAGAAGCAAATTAGGACACTCAGCAACTAACACAGCATGTGGCATGCTGGAGGACAACTGTCACACATGCAGGGCTCAGGGCTGATGCTTGATTTGTAGGTGTAACCCTCACTTGCCTGTTAAAGAGAGACAGTTCTTCGGTCCTTTCTATAGCATTGTATTGATTAGCTTTTCATCACTGTGACCAAAATACAAATAAATAAGGGAGGCAGGGTTTGTTTGGGCTTACAGATTCAGAGGGTGGGGTCTGCCATGGCTGGTGGGGAGGGTGTGCCGGAACAGAGCTGCTCACAGCACGGTCACCAGGAAGCACAGAAAGGGCGTTGATGGTGCTCAGCTGACTTTCTCCTGTTCTCTCCCTTTTATTCTGCTCAGACCTCCAGTGCATGAAGTGGTAACACCCACATTCAGGTGTCGTCCACCCACAGTTAAACTTTTGGGAATGTCCCTCACAGACACACCTAAATGTATGTCTCATCACCCTGCAAGTTGTTTCCAAATCAGTCAAACAGACAATGAACCATTACTTAGTAACCAAGCTCTGTGCTTGACCAAGACAGGTCTGAGAAATGCTAGTTCACCTGCAACTCAAGCTCTACATGGCAGATCATGAACCTCACTCAGGCTCTGTGTGTCACAAGGACAGTTTGGTAAAAATAAAGCAAGTTGGAAATTTCCCTCTTGCTGATGGATGTTTGGAGCCTCCATTCTCTCTCAAGGAAATAAACTCAAAGAGTATAATTAGATGAAATTTTATTTTCCCCTCGTTATGTATGTCAGCATGTAAAAGAAAAGCACAGAGCAGGAAAATGAACTGTCTTTCAGAAAGTCTACATCACCATCTGGCCCTGGAAATTACGGAGTACTGGGAGCACATTTGGTTCAGTCTATTATCAGAAAATTTGCGGCAAGAGGGTCAGTTAGGGGAAGACAACTGTGTCACAAAGCCCTCCAGAGTTGTGCTTGTATATGATGCTTGATAACAAATAACATAGTAATTTTCTCTAACTGAAAAGGAGAGGGCAGATGAAAGCATTCCAAATGGCCAAGCAGCGGGAGCCAAGCACAGAACAAGAAATGACCTCACTGAGACTGAAAACGGTAGAGCTCGGTCTTGAGTCTTGGTCATGGGCATTATGGGCCAGGTCATGGCTTGAACATCTTCTATCAGAATAACTTGGTAACTAGTATATATTTTCCTGGGGTCTCTATGGAAGCTGGTAATGTCAAAAGTAGGAATAGAGAGGTAAGGAGGGGTTGATAGCAAGTGGTATATAACAAAGCCTCAGTTAGAAATGATGCACAAACCGTTATCTCTAGTCTAAACCTACCTGAGACGTGGTACCATAGGGAATTGCTGACTTCTTTCCTGAGAGAGAGTGGATCATTCTAGCTCTCATGGGCACGCCTTTGGAGACTATCTGAAATGAACCAGAAACAACCATTTCCATTAGTATGATGTAGCACTATGCGAGTGAGATAGAGGCTGAATTTAAAATGTGATTTTTATTTTTTAAAACCTTTAAAAAAAAAAACTATACAGAGGCCCAGGAAGTCCAGTATGACTGAAACTCATTCAGAGAAAACTTTGTTCTCGAATATTTCAGTGTTTCTTTAACATTAGGTCTTGGAAGAAAATGAAAGTTTATGTGATCTAAATCAGATATCATAGGGAGAGTGGCTCACTGTGTGGATAAGTGATTTTTCTCATGGCGAAGAGAAGAGTCATTGTGTGAAGCAAAATGCAGGGTTCCTAAAGTTCAGTGCAAAATCCCTTCTTAATCAGTATTTGAAAAACAATGAGGATGCAAGTAACAGTCAGCCACTCACAGTCAGGTCAAGGACTTGCAGCTGGTCTGAGGAGTGGCTTAGTGGGAGAGTATTTGCCTAGCTTGTGCAAGGCCCTGGATTTGATCCCTAACAGAAAGAGAGAGGGAGGAGGGAGAGAGAGAGGGAGGGAAAGAGAGAGAGAATCTCAATGAAAAGAGCATCAAGAAAAGCATCACTTACCTTTGTATTTCTAAGTGGCAGTGGGAAGTTCTATAACATTAAATCCTTATGAGAAAAATCTACTATAAACTCCTAATCCCCCTTCCAATCCTGTAGGTTTCTAAATTCAGAATTTTTCACATTTTAGACAAGTAGTACAGTACACATATGCTGGGTATATAATAGCCAGCAGGTATGGGACATCAGCGTATACCATCCCACACATCCCATAAAACCAGTATTTCTACAACTTAATGCATTCATCTAACTCGGTGTTTTGAAAAGACCATTAGAAGTCTCACATGGGGTCAAGTTTTACTGCTACAAATCTCATAAAAGCCTTCTGTTTCCAACCCCCTATTGACCTGGTCAGAGATCTGCCTTCTGAGGATAGCCCAGCATGGGAACTGCTCCTTAGGGGCTGTTGTAGTGTCATGTCTACGCCCCACCTCAAGACCTTCAGAGGCTTCAAGTGTCAAGTGTTCACTTGGTTGTTGAATTTGGAATTTACCAAACCTTAGCAGAACTGGTTTTCCTGAAGGGACTATTGGTGTTTAATTGTGCTTCAAACCAGAAAAAGGCAATGTCATCAAGTTGTTGAAAAGAATACAAGTACTACCATCGTGTATTGGACCAGGAAGACAGCTCAGGGTGTAAGAGCATTTGGCTCACTGTTGGAGACCACTTCACTGTTTGAACTCTGCAGAAAACTGCAAAATCGCCAGTAGCCAATATTGTCCATGATGGCAGAGCCAGATGGGCATGTATGCTGACTCAGGGTTCTGAAGTGCAGTGTCTGTTTATGTTTAGATTAGATTTTTAAAAATTGCCTTATTTGCACTGTTATGAGAACATTTTCTCTGTATCTCTATATCTTGAAATTAGGTCATGTTTTTTGCTGATTGTCCCCTGAGCTTCTGCAGAGGAATGTCCTGTAATCTGCATAGTGTTTGTTCCTCAATGCCTGCTTAGAGGACCCCATCCCTACACATAAAACCCCGAGGACCCAGTGCTCCTTGTTCTACTGTACGGGAACCTCCTGATCCCCGGCTTTTTTAAATACTAAATTGTCTGTGTGTGACATTTTATTATTAGATACCTCACTGTCCCTCTTTGGGTCCACTAATACTCAGCCATGCAGGATGTAGCAGTGCACAGGCAGGAGATCCTGAGCTTGGATCCCCAAGAATATGCTCCAGATTTGGCAAGAGTCTCTGTCCTAAGGGAAGAAAGGGGAGCGTGACAGAGCAGGACACTCAAAGTCCTTCTCTGGCATCCATGCATGCCAGCGTGGGCATGTGCACCCCCACACATACATGAACACACATATATACCACAAACACATTTTTATTTTAAAAGAAAGAAAATGCATTAACAAGGTACCTGATCTTCCAGGCCAATGGCCTTCAAGGCCTGTCGTCCTCTATAGGAAAGGGCCAAGTTAATGCTTCTTCCACGCACAAACTCAGCCACTCGAATATCTAAAAAAATGGGAAACAGACTCCATGTTATACACAACTCCTGAAATGCTGCTAGGGGTAAGCAAAGGGTTACACTTGAACAATTGTGCACCCAGAGTCAGATGAAAAGACCCTAATTCTTCCAAAAAAAAAAAAAATCCATCAAGAGTAAATTAGTATCCAACTACATATACGTGATTGTGGTTTGAAAAGAGTTCTTATATTTTAAGTTTATTTTATTGAAACTTCTTTTACTCAGAAAATCCGAAGAGGAGAAGGAAGAATCAGAGGCTCTCTCCCGTTTCCCACTGTTAACTTACCTTCCCTAGCTTCGTAAACATCAACTTGGAAATTCCTCTTTGCCAGAAAGCACGCATTCAATGCTCCAACCTAGGAATCAAAGCCATTTTTTTGTTTTATCTGGTGTTATACACATATGGAAGTTTTATTGGCTGATGCAATATTGTGGATGGATATATTGGTCCGTTTGTTACACTGAATTATAGTCGTTGCAGAAGAAGACAAGATGCAAAGTCGGTCACCGTAACTGGCCTGGTCATGCAGGCTGTAATTCCAGCTGAGGGAGGAGGATCTTGAGTTTGAGACTCACCTGGACAACTTAGTGTTGTCTCAAAATTTAAAAACACTGGGGTACAGCCTTTGCTTAGCATGTGAAAACTCTGGATTCACTCCTCAACAATGAAAAAAATCCAAAACAATCAGATAAAGTCAAGATTCAGTGGTACAGTTGCAGAAATAGCTCTGGTTTTTTCCCTTCCTTCTTTTCTTATTTTTACTTCTTTTAAAGTAAGATGGGACTTGAAAACAGAAAGAACAAAAAAATGCATACGGTTTACAGAATAACTACAAACAAACCTCTATGACCACATAGCCCTCATAATCAATACTCAGTTAAAAAACATTTCGGCCTCTTCTAACACCCCCCACCTCTACCCAATTACTATCTCTCCCACCTGCAGACAAACATTATTCTGATTTTTTTTGATAACTCATTCTTGTTTCTTGACAGTTTTACCACCTAGATATATATCCCTAAGCAATATAGTTTGATTTTGCCCATCTTTGTATGTTTCTATTTAGTGTCTGCTCCTTCAAGATAACATCATATTTAGGAGGTTCAAGCATACACATACAAGCCTCAAATAGTTTATTATTTGTTTGTCTGCGTGAGTATGTGGTATATGCATATGTGTGCACATGAATATGTGGATGCACATGGCTTTGCATATATAAAGGTCAGAGATCAGCATTGGTTTTCTTCCTCTATCTGTCTCCACCTTATTTTTTGAGATGGAGTCTCTTATGGAACCTGAAGTTTTTCGATTGGTTAGACTGGCTGGCCAGCTAGTTCCAGGGATCCTGCTTCTTGGTCTCCCTGCATTGGGGTTACAGACATACACTGCCACACTCTGGTTTTATTTGGATGCTGGCAATTTGAACTCAGGCCTTTCTGCTTGTACAACAAGCATGCTACCTATTGAGCTTATAAAATAACAACTGTAAAGACCTGGAGATTGTCATATGTGAGAAGCCACAAGGACAGGCCACATGTAGCTGACTCAGCCAAGAGCCTCACCCACCAGCAGCTAACTCCAGCTATCAACTGTGGGCGTGCTCCATCTTGGATGGTCAGCCTGATGAAACCTTAAAGATGATTGCTGCCTCAGTCACATGATAGACCACTCAGAAATGAGACATAATGTCATTGTTTTAGGTCACTGTGTTTTAGGGTGGTTTGTTATACAATAGATAATCCTAACAAAGGGATTGGCAAATCTTCCTGGTGCTTACTTTTGGTCAACCTTTGAGGAATAAGAATATTGAGTCATGTAGAAGAGAAGCAGTAATACTTTGAGAGAGTTTTCCTTTACATAGGGGTAGAATCATAACTGCCTCCCCTAATGGAGAGCTGTTCAGGGAAGGATATGAATCAGAAGATGACAGGGTCAGGAGGATGGGAATGAGTCCAAAGAGATTCATTAGAAATGGACCCACTTACTAAGAAAATAGCCCAGAAAGAAAGCTGTGTAGCCAGGCACTCGGGAGGCAGAGGCAGGCAGATCTCTGTGAGATTCAGGACAGCCTGGTCTACAAAGTGAGTTCCAGGCCAGCTGGGGCTACAGGGAGACCCTGTCTCAAAAAAAAAAAAATGAAAGAAAGAAAGAAAGAAAGAAAGAAAGAGAAAAGAAAAGAGAGAAAGAAAGTTGTGCAAGACACACAAGCTAGAATCTAAGTGATGGATGTCAGGGAAGTGGCTCAGGACCAGAGAGACCGGGATTCAGAAGCAAGAAATCAATTCACCATTCCTTGGGAATTGAACTTCAGTAAAGGAGAGGTAACAAACAATGTAGCAAGCATGGATCTCCATTGCCAGCACAGAATCTGGTCCAAGATAGTGGTGGGCTGTGGCCTACTTGCATGGGTTTCTATATTATTCTTTTTCTTGGATGAAAGCTAATTCCATGATCTGGGGAAAAAAGGGCTGACCTGGGTGGAGGGTGTGCTTCAGTTCTTTCTAGGGTTGGCTGCTGTAGAGCCACGCCTGCCCAACACTTCCTGCTTGTTTGACAATAGCGGTATATGTGTGATTATTCCAGGAAGAAGAGGGGAAGATGGAACTTTTGGTGATGTAGACACAGAGGATTAAATATGGTCCCTGGCTGATGAAAACATCATTCACTAGAAAGGATGAGAGTCAATGAGATCTCTTCCACATCACTTGTAATTATATTGCCAAGTTAAATATTCACATATCCAGCAAACCAGCAATTCCCCTTCATGGCACATACCCAAAAGAAAATTTTGTTATGTATGTACACAAAGACATATTTCAAAATGTTCAGAGAAGTCCTTTTCATAGCCAAATGAAGGAGAAAATATTCTGTAAATATCCTAAGTGACTAGCACAAAGGAAAGGATAAATACATTATGGTATATTCATATGATAAAATGCAATACTGTGAGTGTATCAGCAACAGTACAGGTGAAGAGACCAAGTTACAGACGATTTCACAATGTATGATGCTCCTACAAAATAAAGATAATCAAGACTGTACCATAGATATATGCATATACCTCATTAAAGTATATATATATGCATATATGATTACATATAACATAAAATTATAAAGGGCAAATATTCATGGCAATCGTCTAATGGGCAGAGGAAAAGAAGAGGTCAATGGGAGTCACTGCAATATATAAATTCTTTTTTTTTTTTTTTTTGGTCTTTTTGAGGCAGGGTCTCCCTGTAGCCCCAGCTGGAACTCACTCTGTAGACCAGGCTGGCCTTGAGCTCACAGAGATTCATCTGCATCTGCCTCCCGAGTACTGGGATTAAAGGCATGCGCCACCACGCCCAGCATTTTTTTTTTTTTTTTTTGGTCTTTTTGAGACAGGGTTTCCCTGTAGCCCCAGCTGGCCTGGAACTCACTATGTAGACCAGGCTGACCTTGAACTCACAGAGATCCACCTGCCTCTGCCTCTGCCTCCTGAGGCAATATATTAATTCTTGTGTTGAAGAGAGCTCACAGATGCTTATGATAAACAAGCAAGTGAAACAGTGAATAGTATCTTCTCCAAGTCTAGTGACAAGAGTGCATAAAGATTATGATAATACCTATCCTGTGTAGCTGAGGCTCAAATGAAACTAAAAGGAAAAATATAGGTATATATTATGTAAGTTCAGCTGCAGGGGCTGATCGTGTAGCTAGTAAAGCAGCTTTTGCACTCTAACTTTATTTCCTCTTCACACTTTCTATAGGAAGCGCATGATTTGGAATAACTGTCAGTGCCACTTTTAGTTGTCAGATGGCAAAGTGACTAAGAAGACGGGGATATAAATAGAACTCTGGCATTTAAGCCACACCAAGCCTGCCACAACTCTGCTAAGGCACATCTGGGTTCCTGACTCTCTGCTAAGGCACATCTGGGCTCCTGACTCTCTGCTAAGGCACATCTGGGTTCCTGACTCTCTGCTAAGGCACAGCTGGATTCCTGACTCTTTGCTAAGGCACATCTGGGTTCCTGACTCTCTGCTAAGGCACAGCTGGGTTCCCGGCCATAAGAGAAGACTGTTGAGAAGAAGAAACTGAGCGGGATTCGATTTCATGAGACCAGTTTCCCAGAAGTACATGAACAATTATGTGATGGTTCTACATTTTTTTAAAAGTGTCGAAAGCCTACAATAGGAAGCAGGCAGAAAATGAAGTCCAAAGGTTGAGTTCTCTGCACCTAGACAAGAGTGGATTCTATGAAGCACTTTAAAACCCCACCAAGACTATTAGAGAAATACAGGCAGAGAAGATCAGGGTTAAAACTTCTTGGATGAGAGAAACTAGATCCCAAGTAAAACTTCAGAAGATTGAGGAAGGTTCACAAACAGATCAAAAGTGTCCTTGACCCACTGAACACAGAAAGATTGACTTCCATAGCCCATCAACACCCACCTGTCATTAGAACATTCTAGACATGGAGTGACAGGGAGGGCTTTTTAAAAAAAAACAAAACAAAACTTAGAAGGCTCAGAACCTAAAGAACAGAAAACAAAAATGACTAGTCACACAGGTGAGCCTGCTTAAATTAAGTCAGTCACAAAAGCAAACCAAAAGTCATGAATCTGGTAGACAGGTAGAGATGGAGGGGTGACAATGGAGTGGGAGGGAGAAAAGAGAGGGTGGGAGGAGAGAGTAGCCAGGGTATATTATATACAGCCATGAAATTGTCCAAGAACTAACTTAATTAACAAAAAAGTATAAAAAAGAAAAAAATTGGTGCACATACACAATTGAATTTTATTTATCTGCAAAGGAAAATGAACTTATAACATTCACAGGAAAACAGGTGGAGCTGGAGATCATTGCGCAAAATAAAAAAGGCAAATAATACATTTGAAAACAGAACGGGGAACAATTTGGTGGGAGGAAGAGGACCAGCAAGGTGGGAAAGGGGAACAATGGAGAGCTACATGTGGGGCTAAAAAGAACAAAGCACGTTGATACATATGAAAATGTCATAGGGAAATCCATTTCTGTGTATGCTTTACCAGAAGCTAATTTAAATATCAGCCGAAAGTGACTAGAGATTTATTTTAGTATTAATAAAATGAAAGCACTAAGGCTAACAGTGAGCCCTTTATACGGTACATATGCATACCTGCAGAAATGATGTGCTCAACCAAACTGTACACCATGAAACGCTGTCACAATTACATGGCCTTTGCCAATTTCTGCATGTCAGAGTGTCAGATGGCCTTTGCTGGTTTCTATGTGTCAGGGATTTTATTTCAGGGAACGTGTAAATTCTGAGTGACGTGATTTCAGCATTAGGAAGGTCTAGGCTGAGAACAAAGTACAGATCTGTGCATGAGGCGTGCAAAATGGCAGAACTGCGCCGTTAAAAAAACTCCAATCCAGGTTTAGCCCAAGAGGAAGACACTGAGACCCACAGAGAGCAGGATTTCCTGAGCCCCCAGCTGCCCGCAGACTCTGCTGCGCCTCCCTGTTGTGGAATGAGAAAAACCTCAGGGTCCCAGGGCAGAGACACCAGTTTAGCATCAACAGCATTCTGAGGCTGGAAATCCATTGTGAGACACAAACTCTCAGCACGTAAGTGGCTGGAAGGCACATGGAGGAAGTAATTTTATGGTGAAGAAGAAAGAGGTCAAGTGCTGTTAAGGGCAAAGTCCCTGGACAACAGGCACCCTTTGGGGTCTTCCAAAATCGTGTGTCGAGACATGAATTTACCTCCTCCATGGATTTCTGAGGCATTTTTAGGATCATTGCTGCCACTCTAGTGGACCTCTCAGATGTGTAACAGCTTTCTAACTGGTCTATGTTGTCCTCTTAAATTTCCTTAGTCATTCACCACTGAAAGCCTGATAATGGTTATTTGAGGTCTTGCTGTATAGCCCAGGCTGCAACATCCACCCCCAGCCTCCCAAGTGCTGTGATTACAGTCACGCACCACCATGCCCAATATGACATCACAGTACACCTTCTTACCTAAAATGCACCATGATTTCAAGTACAATGCTACTTTGAATAAAACCCAGTCTTTTGCCTGATCTTTGAAAACCCTGCAAGCTCTGGCTAAGTCAGTTTTGTATCTTATTGAGGTATCTGGTCATAGCTTCTTGTCAAAGGGGCTGTCCTTGACTCCCCCCAACAGGAACCCCCAAGGCCCTCAACAGACTGTTCTTACATTGTTCTCCGACTCTAATTGTCTTGTTTGTTACCTTCTTTGTGGCCTTTCTCTTCCCTGGGATGTCTTCTCCTGTGTCCACACTGCCTGAAACAATGTGGTCAGGAATCTGTGGACTTGAACTTTCATCTTATACAACATTTTGATAGGAAAGATTTAGACTGATGCCTGATATGAAGCTTTGACAATTACAGCTCATGATGTCAGCCCTCAGTGTTTGGATCTTGCTGTGTGTCCCAGGCAGGACTCAAGCTCACACGACTTCCCTGCCTCAGCCTGCCAAGTCCTAGGATTACAGTGATGTGCCATCATGCTTGGCCATTCTTAGGTATTTTAAAATTTGGGATCAGAAATATTAAAGAACCTGTGCATCCATTTTCTTGAAAACAACATAATTTCATTCTTCTTTATGACAGACTAATACTCCATTGTGTGCTGTGCATCACACTGTCCTTATCATTAAAAACTTACTAATTCATTAATTTATTTTATGTGTATGAGTGTTTGGATTGAATGTAAGCGTATCCATGCTTGCAATGCCCACAAAGTCCAGAAGAGGGTATCAGATACCCTGGAACTGGAGTTAGCTGGCATGTGGGTGTTGGGAACTGAATCTGGACGTCTACAAGAGCAGTCGCTACTATTAATTGCCGACCCATCTCACTAGTCCCTACCTCGTCATTTTTGATGGATACTTAGGCTGATTCTATAACCTAGCTGTTGTGAATGTGCAGCAATGAGCATGGGCTTACAAATATCTCTACAGTGAATTAATATTGATTCTTCTGTGTATAAACAAGAAGTATATCTGGATTGCATAGAAGTTCAATTTTTAAGTTTAAGGAACCTCCATGATAGTTTCCATTATTTGGAACATTTTTATTCTGTAAGAGGAGTTCTGCTGAGAGGGAAAAAAAAATGTACAATTTCCTGGAGGCAGCCCCTGGAGGAGAGAGCTGGCTTTCCATGCTATGGAAGTACCACACTGTGGTAGCAAAGAGGCGGCACTTTCGTACATCATCTGAGATATGTGGCTAGTGACAGCATGTGGGTCTCAAGTGAGTGCCTCGCCCCACCATCCTGTCACACTGGAACGGTCAAGTAATTGGGTAACCAAGTAAAGCTTACTCCCACTTATTCAAATAACCAGGCAACACCTAATATGTATTCTTAAATATTAACTTCTTGTTTCTTGACCCTTTTCTTTTTCATTAGACAGTGTTGAGTTTATTAACTAAAGCAGGGCAAAAGGTTTTTACTAAGATGATTACTAAGACTTATACCTGTTTTTAAAGCATGGCCACATTTGGGAACAAAATCAAGTTTCTTTTGTTTTATTTTTGATCTTTAAGAAACACTAAATCAAAATGACAGGAGGAAACATACAATTTTGTATTTAATGGATATAAAATACCTCTTCTGGGAAAGAACAATTTAAAACAAATATGATTAGCCATATTTACCGCCTAGATGCCTGCCAGTGGATGGATGGATAAAGAAAATGGAGTACACTTATCAGTGGAGTAAGATTCAGCCATAAAGAAGAAGGAAATCCTGTTACCTATAGGAAAATGGGTGGGTTTGGAGGATACCAGGCTAAGTGTAATAACACAGACACAGAAAGACAAGGATTGTATATTTTCTGCCATATATCAAACCAAAAAAGAAAGAGAGAGAGAGAGAGAGAAAGAAGAAAAGAAAGAAAGAAAGAAAGAAAGAAAGAAAGAAAGAAAGAAAGAAAAAGAAAGAAAGAAAGAAAAA